CTACCTTCTCGGTAGTCTGCCTCATCAGCTCTGTCCAAGCAACAAGCTATCCTCCGACTCTGTCCAACATATAGGGGATCTACAGGGTCTCCCGTACAATGCCTCATACGGGACCATACCAATCCTCGCTCGATAACTATTGTTATAAACGAACTCTATCAATGGAATATGATCCACCCAACTACCTTAAAATCAATGATATAAGCCCGCATCATGTCCTCCAACACCTGGTTCACTCTCTCTGTCTGACCGTCTGTCTGACCGTCTGTCTGAGGGTGGAATACACTGCTGTGTAATAACATGCTGTCGAATAAATCCTGGAAACTCCTCCAAAAGTACGAGGTGAAAACTGAGCCTCGATCTGATACAATCATATCTGGAACTCTGTGAAGTTGAACTATCTTTCGGATAAATATCCTTGCATATGTCTCGGCGGTATAAGTAGTCCTCACTGGAATAAAATGTACCGACTTCGTCAACCGATCCACTATCACCTAAACTGAATCATTCCTCTTCTTTGACTTTGGAAACCCTGTAATGAAGTCCATAGAAATATCCACCCACTTCTATTCTGGGATGGGTAAAGGCTGAAGTGTCCCTGCTGGTCTCTGGTGTTCTGCCTTCACTTGCTGGCAGGTGAAGCACTTAGCCACATATTCTGCAATCTCCCTACACATATCACTCCACCAAAAATATCCCCTCAAGTTCTTGTACATCTTAGTGGTTCTTAGATGCATTGAATATCAGGTATGATATGCTTCATCAAATAACTCCTTCTTTAGCTCTATACTAGCTAGCATAACCAATCGACCCTTCATTCGAAGGCCTCCATCTGCTCTAATGGTCCAATTGTCCTTGGGCTCTTTGGAAATCTCCTCCTTCCGGATTTGAATCCAAGAGTCCTCTAACTGAGCTCTGACTACTCTGTCCCTTCAAGATGGCTGTACTGATATAGCTCCCAAGTATGTATTGGTCCCGCCAATCTTTAGCCTAAAATCAAACTGGCTAAGAGTGAGAAGATCTCGATACAACGAGCACCTCAAGGCCGCAACCCGATGTCGACGCTTCCTACTCAAAGTATCTGCTAAGATGTTCGCCTTCCCGGGTGATACTGAATTGCAAACTCGTAGTCCTTGATGAACTCAATCCATCACCGCTGTCTCTAATTGAGTTCCTTCTGGAAGAATAGGTACTTCAGACTCTGGTGATCTGTGAATAGCTCGAACTGAACTCCATACAAATAGTGTCTCCATGCCTTCAGTACGCTGCTAACTCCAAATCATGAGTGGGGTAGTTCTGCTCATGTACCCTTAGCTGTCATGAGATGTATGCTACTACCCTATGAGTCTGCATTAGAACACCTCCCAAATCTGCTAACGACGCATCTGTGTATACGACAAATATCCTGTCACTGCTCGGAATAGTAAGGACTGGCGCCGTAGTCAACTTAGCCTTTAAGGTGTTAAAGGCCTTCTAGCACTCTGTGCTCCAAGTAAACTGTACATCCTTCTTCGTAAGGCGTGTAAGTGGCATCGTAATCTTTGAGAAGTCCTGAATGAACTTCCTGTAATAGCCAGCTAATCCTAAAAAGCTACGAATCTCGGTAACCGTCTTCGGCAGTTTCCAATTAAGCACTACTAAAACCTTAGCTGGGTCCACTGCTATGCCCTCTCTGCATACAATATGGCCAAGAAACCTGACCTCAATCCAAAACTCACACTTGCTGAACTTAGCATATAGCTGATGCTCCCTCAAAGTCTGTAAAGCCAAACATAGATGCTACTCGTACTCTGATTTCGGTCTCGAATATATGAGAATATCATCGATAAATACAATCACAAATTGGTCCAAATATGGACGAAAGACCCGGTTTATCAAATCCATGAATACCGTGGGTGTATTGGTCAACCCAAATGGCATGACCAAAAACTCAAAGGACCCATATCCAGTTAGAAAGACGGTCTTGGGAATATCCATCTTCCGAATCCGCAGCTAATGATAACCAGAACGAAGATCAATCTTCGAGAAATACTATGCTCCCTACAGATGATCGAACAAGACATCAATCCGAGGCAAATGATATCTATTCCGGATAGTGACTTTGTTCAACTACGGTAGTCGATACATAATCACATACTACCATCCTTCTTCTTCATGAAGAGGACCGGCGCTCACCATGGAGAATGACTCTGACGAATAAAACCCTGAGCTAACAACTCATCCAACTGGGTCTGTAGCTCCCTCATCTCAGCAGGTGCCATGTGATAGGGTGCTCGAGATATCGGGGCTGTGCCCGGCTACAACTCAATACAAAACTCAACCTCTCTCAGAGGAGGCAACCCAGGTATGTCCTGAAAGACATCCTGATAATCTGAGATAACTCTAGTCTCGCATATATCAACACTTTGATCTTGAAGCATCACCTCCTCGATGTACACCAGTAATGACTCCACAAACTGGTTCCCCTGAGAGATTGCCACAACTAACTCGGACCCATCGGACTGTTAGACCCTAGAGGGGGGGTGATTAGGGTCTTATGCTAATCTAATCCGATTTAATGCCAATTAAAACTAATTAATAAGTTATCCTAGCAAGTATAAAATACAACAAGATATGTAAGCTAGGATAAGCAATATGAACAAGTGAATATATCCTATCAATGAGATATTACAAATATATGAGCAAGGATATATGAACTAACACAAGGGTAAAATAAACAATCTACACAAGTGATAGGGTAATATGATGAGCAATACACAAAGGCGATATAAGATATGAAAACGAGAATAAGAACGCCAATGCAATCACAAACAAAACGATATGTTTACGAGGTTCGGTCCCCACGACCTACGTCCCCGCTCCTCACCTCGAGGAGATATCCACTATCACAATCCGGTTTGGAAGCCGGAACTTCAACACACTCGGTTTACAAGTTCACCGAAAACTCTCACACTACACAATCACTCAACAATCACACTTTACACACTAAGTGTAGGAATCTAGCCCGTGTCCTCCTCCTCAAGTGCTCGATTACAACCTCTCCCTAGGTTCGTCAATCGACGCCACTCCTATTGGATTTGACCCCGTCTCTCTCTCCTCACACTTCTCTCGGTGTACAAGTGTATTACAAGTGATTCTCACAAATAAAAGTCAAATACAGTAATTTGTTCTCAATTGACACGTGAGAACACAATGAAGCTCACACTCACTAAATCACACTCCACAAACCCACAATATTAATATGAAAATATTAAGCTCAATAAGTGTGTGTGATAACAGTGAATAAAACTCAATAAATAATTTAATGAATATAGCTAATCAAATGAAAGTGAAATAGTAAGCTATATGGAAAGAGTTTAGAAAAAACTTCTCAATGAACAAGAGGAGCTGAAGAGTATGATCCCAATGGAATATGAGAGCCTCTTCTTGTTGTAGAGAACTTTCACTTGAAAACAGATTAACGAAACAGCTCTTAAACAGCCCTTAAACGCGATTAAAACTTTGCTAAACAGTAAACTTGGATTTCTTAGCTTTTTTAGAAGAGGAGCAGCAATTGGGTATATATAGCTCCCCAATACAACAGCTAGAAGTGAGAAAAAGACGAAAAAACCCATTTGAAAAACTAGCCGTTAGGCTCAGTTTGTTAACTCGTCGGTCGACCGGTACGGTCGACCGATTAGTTCAAAAAAACGTGAGAAAACAAGTTTTGAAGCTGGCGGTCGACCGACGTAATTTTCGGTCGACCGAAGGTAAATTTCGGGCGACCGACGTATATTTCGGTCGACCGGAAAACTTTGGGAAACTTTCTTAGAAACAGACTGTCTGTCGGTCGACCGTATCGGTCGACCGAAAACTGATATGAGAAAATTGACAGGTTTTTGGGGAGTTTTGAAAAATCGTTAAAAATATCAGATCATATCCAAAATTAGTGAAACTTTGGGGAAAGTTTATAAATTATGAAATAAGCATGTTTGAAAAGAAAATTTTGGAAAAACATTTTTCGTTTGCTAAAACTCCCTGTTATTGAAAACAGCTTAGAAAACCTGTAAATTTACGAAAGTGAAATTTGATTCAGACATGTAAATATTCACATATATATATTTGCATATATTATACGTATATAGTGAAACATGAAAGAGCTGTAAAAAAAAAAAGGATAGAGATATTTTAGCAACGGTTAATGAAAAATCATTTATATGATAGAAAACGTTATAAATCGTGTTAAGTGTATATATATTGAGCTTGAATACAATCATACAATATATGTAGGTAAACTAAGCATATACCTAGGTAGAACCACACAAAAAGAACTTGAATCTTTAACGCTAGATTGACTTGTGAACTTGAAATACCTGAAAAGAAACTAGAAACACAAAAACACTAGAGAGATTATTAGTAATGAATTGTTTGCTAAATCATCATCAAAACTATAGGGTCAACACGGACGCTCGCAAATTGACTGTTTTCGTAAAACAGTCGATACTGACGTGGTAGGAAGATAGCCAATCCATACCAAGAATAACATCAAACTCTGATATGCACAACACTATCAGATCGATAACGAACTCAGACTCGTCTAAACTAATAATACACCTCCTACAAATGCTCTCCAAGAGCGACATCTCACCTAGAGGGGTGGAAACTAACAAATGAATATCTAGAGGCTGAGCTACGAGCTAAAGTCTAATCATAAATGCATAAGATGTGAAAGAATGTGAAGCCCCTGAATCGAAAAGAATACGGGCTGGAAAGGAGTTCACGAGGAATGTACCCTCCACTGTGGCCCCGCTCACACCATGATCACGAGGGACTACCGTATAGACTCTGCCGATGACTGGAGGCTGCCCTGCTGCTGGAAGTGGAGCATATGGGACTACATATCCCTGAGAGACCCCCTGAACTGCGCAAACCTATCCCTCAATCATCGGAACTACTGGCGGTGCCTCAATTCATATTTGTTGGCCCTGACCTCGGCCCTAAAATCGGTTCTGCTGCTGATTCTACCATTTCCCTTGCTGGGCTCCTGCTGGTGCACTGCGACAGTTTGATGCTCTGTGGCCAATCTTGTGACACTTAAAACATGTGCCATGAAACTTGCGATGCTGAGGCGCTCTCTGATCATGCTGAGGTCCTCTCTTATGAGGTCCTTGCTGCTGCTGTTGGGGTCCTGAAAAAGGCCTCTTGTTCTTGTCCTTATCCTTAATATTCCCTTCCTTGTCTTTCTGAAACATAGCTGACTTGTTCTCCTGTGAAGTGGCAGCATCAGCTACCTCTCGAATTGAGTAGAACCTCCTAGAAATGAGGTATCGACGAAGGCTAGGACGAAGTCCTGCTAGAAACAATTGTGCTTGGCGTTCTCCAGTCTACCACATGCCTGTAAAGTGAAGTAGGCTCATAAATCTGCTCTCAAAATCTGCTACTGACATATCTCCCTGCGTCAATCTGGATAACTCAAGCTCTTTCCCGGCCCGTGTCGCGAAAGAGATATACTGCTCATCGAAAACATAGACAAAGTCCTCCCAGGTGAGGGTCATCCTCTGTTCTGGGGTAAACTGTAGCCGGTACCATCTCCCTGTATCCCCTTTGAGACTGTAGGATGATAGCGTCTGCTTTTGAACCAAAGTCACATTAAGTATCTCAAGGATGTTACCCACATCTTCCTTCCACTTATGTGCCGCAAGAGAATCTGATAATCCATGAAACTCTGGTGCCCTCATCTTCTGGCATCTCTCTACTAAGCGGAGTCAAACCTCCTGCTCTGTGGTTCTATCAATAATTGCCTGTGGGGTGGGTACGAGTGTGTCTTCCGAGAAATTTTCTGCAACAGGAATAGCTGGTATCACCGGTGGTAGAACTACTGGTGTTGGTGGTGTGATGTGATTAGTCACAAGCTCCTCAAGTGCTGCCATCCTAGCAACTATGAGAGCCATCATGTCTATCAAATACTGGGGAGTCTGCTACGGCTCGGGTGAAGCCTACTACGCTGTAAAGTGAAGTAGGCTCATAAATCTGCTCTCAAAATCTGCTACTGACATATCTCCCTGCGTCAATCTGGATAACTCAAGCTCTTTCCCGGCCCGTGTCGCGAAAGAGATATACTGCTCATCGAAAACATAGACAAAGTCCTCCCAGGTGAGGGTCATCCTCTGTTCTGGGGTAAACTGTAGCCGGTACCATCTCCCTGTATCCCCTTTGAGACTGTAGGATGATAGCGTCTGCTTTTGAACCAAAGTCACATTAAGTATCTCAAGGATGTTACCCACATCTTCCTTCCACTTATGTGCCGCAAGAGAATCTGATAATCCATGAAACTCTGGTGCCCTCATCTTCTGGCATCTCTCTACTAAGCGGAGTCAAACCTCCTGCTCTGTGGTTCTATCAATAATTGCCTGTGGGGTGGGTACGAGTGTGTCTTCCGAGAAATTTTCTGCAACAGGAATAGCTGGTATCACCGGTGGTAGAACTACTGGTGTTGGTGGTGTGATGTGATTAGTCACAAGCTCCTCAAGTGCTGCCATCCTAGCAACTATGAGAGCCATCATGTCTATCAAATACTGGGGAGTCTGCTACGGCTCGGGTGGAGCCTACTACGGTTCGGATGGAGCCTACTACGGTTCGGGTGGAGCCTGTTGCGGCTCTGGTGGAGCCTGTTGTGGCTCTGCCTGACCAGCTCTTCGGGTACGAGGTCTACCATGTCCGGCCATCTAAGCATATAGAAGAAAATTTATAAGTCCTCGAACGAAATATATATGGAATTCGTAAAGATAAGAAATTCATATCATATATCATTCACGCAAATACTTTTAATATCAATGAATACTAGTCTCACAAAAAAAATATTCGTAATTTTTTAATACGCGTATATAACGTCCTCACTCATTCTAGAAATTTCTAGTGGACTCTATATATGAATCTTAAGAAACTCTACTCTAACTCCACGACTTGACATAGGATGATCCTAAGGATACTGGAACTAGAGCTCTGATACCAACTATAATGCCCCTGGTTTCAACAAGGCTACAGTCAAAGGTGAAACTAAGAATGTCAAACCTGCCATGCACTACACCGTGTAATAGCATGTTTCACCATCATAATTACTATCTATCTAGTAGAATCAACAACAGGTGTAGGTACAAAACAGGCTAGAGAAAATATACAGAAGAAATACTAAATGATAGATATTATGAAGAAATCATCACCACTAAAATAAATAGACAAATCTCTGAGAGAAATAACATCTTATTGAATACAAGTGTCTCAACATAGGAAATCAAATAAAATGACATTTAGGCACATCGCCTTTATAAAACTAGAATGATAACTCAAATATTCATAAACACATCTACTATAGAGTTCTGACATAAACTACTAACAATGTAGATAAATAACTGCTAGAACAATTCTATCAAACTACGGCTCTCCGTGCACCTGGCTCGTTACCTGAAAGGCGGGAAACAACGAGTGTCAAGCGCTAGCAAGTAACATCTCAACCAACCCCAGGGGGAAGGGCTAGAAGAAAGAAAAATAGCTATTAATATATATAGATAGTTAATCATCTACTCCGAAATAAAATAGTGGTTTGATATTTAGAAATTTACTACACGAGCATAGGTACGTCTCCCGTTAGCTCAAATTGTAAATAGCTAAATACCAAATCCCAAAAAAAACTACAACGTGGAGCAATAAAGAAATATAGCTCCATCTCCAACCATAATATCAATGACATGTCATATGTTAAATACGTGCCCAACTCGTGGACTGAAATAGGTAAATGTCCAATACATGAACTGCAAAAGCTTAAAGTCCAACATGAGAACTTCAATGGATTATAGTCCAACACGAGGACTTCAATGGATTATAGTCCAACACGAGGACTTCAATTGATTATAGTCCAACACGAGGACTTCAACATGAAAGCAATATAAAAAAAAATCAGCATATTTACTACTCACTCTCGTGTCTCGGCGAGTGAATCTAAAACTCGTGTCCGTAGTCAACTCATATACACAAATCCTAGTGTATTATAATCCCATATAACCTAGGTGTCTCGCCAACCACACAAACTTATGCAACAATATGAACATGCAGAAAATTCTCCAGCGGTCGACTGCGAAGAGACATAAACCTTTTCTACAGGTTTCTGCTCCTCGAGGTTGATTCAAAAGCCATTATGCGATGATTCGATATACTACAAATCCTATATACGTGATTTAGCATTTCTAGATTATGTAAAAAATACAATCTAATCACTATAGACAAAAAGAAACCTTTTTAAACACATGTATGCATGTCGACACATTTGAAAACAATTATCTTTCTTTCAAAACTCTTGTCAGGAAAATTTTCAGATCTAAATCTGCATTAAGAAATTCATGGGTGATCTTTATTAATTAAAAACTTGTTCTTTTTGTAACATACAATATAAAGATATATCTTTATACATAAAATAACATTTTAGGCTCATAAAACACAGGAAAAACTTTATTAAAAACGTTTAAAACATAGGTGTAGGATTGGGCGAGATGAAACTCGCCTAAGGGGTGTTGATGAACTCCCAAAAATGAGTGAGAACGATCCTCCTTTTCTAAACACCGATGGATCTCCCGTCAGCTCCTCCAAAATCCTCCAAGAATCGCCAAAGAAAGGGGGTTTAGGGTTTGAGAGAGAGAGAGAGGAGGGGGCTGAGGCTATTAGGGTTTAAAAGAGGGTTCTGAGAGGTTCAAAATGGATATATATACTTAGGTATACTCCCAGGTTTGGTATAAACAAAACCAACCCGAGACAAAGACAATCTTGGCGTCTGCACGCCCAGCAGTCAACCGTATAGAAACCTGCACACAGGCTGTGGTTCGGTATATTGGCCATAACTTTCTAGTCCGACCTACGAATAAGGTGATTTAAGATTTGTTGAAAATCTATTGAAGATACCTACAACTTTGATCTTTTACACTTTCTTAGATTCTAACTGCATCAGTGCGTAAAATATAGAAACTCATAACTGGTCATAAATCTCAGATTTCTCTTTTGGCCTTTGTGCATGTCTTGCACATATGCACTCATATATTCACAAATATATACTGAATTGATCTTAAATCAATTCTTATTATATTCAAACATCAAAATATATTATTTTTCACTATATAACATATTTATCATTATTTATCATAAAATATTCAAATTTTCGGGGTTTTATAATATTATTTTGAGAGATCCTATGGTTATGAATGTTACTTTAGGCCTGAACCAATTCTTAAGGTTGTGAGGGTTATTTAGGGGCCAAGACAAATCTATGAGTTGTGAGAGATTCTTGTTATCTATAAATAGAGAGTAGAGTGAGGGCTTGAGAGTGTGGAATTTTTTATAATAATCTCCATTTGAAGAGGAGTGTTACTCTTAATTGATGAGTCCTTCTTATTTACAATTAATAAAAAAATTTCTTCACCTTTAAATTTTCTTTTCTTCGTCATTATTGATGGAGATGAAAATGAAGATTTACTTTCAAAGGGCTACCCCCATGCAATATAAGTTTTACTTTTTTTTCTTTTATTTTTTTTCTTTAGAAATTCATGTTTTAGGATTTATTTTGTTAGATTGGATCAGATTTAGTTTTCATACTCTCTTATTTTTGTATTATAATATTTTTCACAATTTTGTGCTATATATTTACTTTTATGCTCTTTTATTTTCTTACAATTTTATTTTTATAGTTAAGATTTACTTTTATGCTCTTTTATTTTTGTTAGTTAGATTTCATTTATGCTTATAATTTAAATCTTTATTTTCTTATTCTTATTCTTATTTTTGTAGTTAGTTTTTATTTTTCTTGTAATTTAGATCTCTTTTTCTCCTGCTTTCTACTTTAGATTTTATTTCTTTGTTTTTATTTTGTAAAATGAGTAACTAAATCTTATAGGAATTCTAAAATTGTATGAAATTAGTTTGATTTTTTTTACGATTTGTGAATTGCTCTCTTGTATTTAAAATGATCATGTATAGGATAATCAACTAGAGAACTAATTGGTAGAAGAATAATTTGATAATCTATGCTTCTCTTGAGTGGTTTAATAGATTATGCGTATGAATTCTAAAATTATCATCTAGTTAATGTTCTTTTCATGAATATTGATTTTGATTAGATAATAATTTGATAGGTTATGTTTTTCTTAAGTTGTTTGATAGTCAATACTTGGTAAGTCTAAAGTAAAATATGATAAAAAGAGAGAAATTTATAAATCCTAAATGAAACAAACTAGTAAATTCAGTTCTAGATTCCTATTTTATCCACTTGATTTTCTTCCATCTTACTTGCTTTGATTTTGCTCTATTTGATTTTTTTTCCTTATTTTCTTGATTTTGATCTTTTCTATTTCTTTATTTTCCCTTTTGTTTGTTCTCATTTGTCTTTATTGTCGCACTCTTTCTCCCCTCTTATTCTATGTTCATTTTAGTTGCAAATAACTACACACTCTTTATCTCTCCACAATATCACTCCTAATTGTCTATACACAACTCTAGGATTCATATATTTAAATAAAATTAATTATCTTTAATGAATTGATAATAAGAAATCGATAAGATCCTTTAAAAATAAAACCGAAGGAAAAAAATAAGATAATGTGCGGTTCATTTTAGAGAGAACCGAAAAATAATTTGAAACATGGTACCGGTGAAGTTGGCCCGAAAATGCAGTTCCAAAAAAATCTTTTAAAAACCAGAA